GTGAGGGCTTTAGACCTTGCACCACACTCTCTCCCTCTCCTTTGCGTACAGGGCCTGGTTCTGGCCCTGTCCTGCTGCTAGTGCATTCCTCACCCTGCACCGCATTAGCAGCGATGGCGATCATTGCTCGCTGCTAAGACATCAGCTGTTCTGTAATGCCATCCTGGGGCTTTCTGTCGCTATGAGACAACCTAGTGTTCACTCGTACCGACACCGACTCTCCCCTAACTCTTTCTAGGACATAATACAGCCTTTCAAAGAGCCTTTACTACATTAGAGGTGGTGGTTTTTGTAGCATTAGCTTGCAGTAGCACCAATACAACCATTATTTCAACACGAGACATGTTAGCTTTAGCCGAACTAGGAGGAGGAGTCAGTGTTGTCATCTGGTTTAAAAGATACAGTGCTACTATCTCTGGGCTTCCCATGGAAATACATATTGATTAATACTACAGATATGTCCTTGCAGAACGTTTTCAGACAGAAAATACCTAACAACAATTACTCTGATTGTCAGCTATCAAGGTAATCGCTGATATTTCTATAACTGTGTAATCAGCTTAATTATTTTAAGGGGGAAAAAATCCTTTGATTCCAGCTTCTTAAATAGGATAATTTTCTGGTTTCTTTTCTTCTCTTTTTTTTTTTTTTTTCCTTTTCTATAGACCAAACAGTAAATCAACAATGACAATAATCCTTCGATGCAGCATCAGGGTTCCAAATCTGAAAGAACGTGAGAAGAACTAAATAGCAAAAAAATTTAAAAAGCATTGAGATCAGAAAAGCAAAAACTGATAGCATCTGTGACATCTCAGCTCTTTGTTGTAGATGATGGAACTGCAGAACCACAACATTTGTATGTTGTTACAATAAGATGTAAAAGGTTGTCATTTAGGGGATTTTATTTTTTAAAAAAAAGGAGCTCTCCAACAAATGTCTAGGAGCCATGTAAAATCTCTCACATGTCTGTATTTTATAGCGAAATAGATGGATTTGTGGGAAAAGTGACAATTTTATGAGGTCTCACCGTGCTGAATTAAGTGGATGTTAGCCAAACACTAAATAAGGGATGAGATACAGCCTTTACAGCCTTTTCCGAGGTCTTTCCTAGGTTGTACGTGACAGAATTGTGGCATAGCAACAGACTACAAAGTGGCGTGTTTAGGTTTCTCTCCTACCTTCCTCTCTCTGAACTCTCCCCCTTTCTCTTTTCCTCTATCACCCCTCCCTGCCTTCTTCACACTTCTTCACTGTCTCTTTTTTTTTCCCCTCCGTCACCTATTCCCTCCCTCAGAGCTCTCCTGATTCCTGCAGAGACATGCTGCGTCATGGAAACAACCGGCTCAGTGTGCACGTGTATGTGTGTGATAGTGTGTGTGTGTGTGTGTGTGTGTGTGTGTGTGTATGTGTGTAGGATAGCTGGTGTTAAAGACACCCTAACAGCACCTCCTGCTGTCCTGCATGGCAGATTATTATAGGCAGTGAAGATTTACAAGGAGGCAGAGAGATGCTCAAACCGCAAAAATCTGCACACATATCTGTATATTTCATATTATGTCGTCTTAAATTCTCTGCATTTCTGATGGTATTTATTTGGGCAGTATGTGTTGGTAAGAGGCAGTTGCTGCCCAAAGAGAATAATTATGGTTTCTGGATAAATAAGAGCATTAAATTTAATTATTTTTCCATTCACTAGATGATTCAGCCGCTCACAGAGCCTCCAAACGGTCACGGAGGGAATTTTTATTTCTGGACTATTTTACCTCACCATAGCATTTGCATTTCCTCTGATCCAGGGAGAGAGGCTGAGCTGTGTTGTGATACAGTAGCATGCATTGTGGTTGACAGTGAAAGTCACAAGTCTGCACCGCTGCATTTAGAAAGAAAACTAGTGGAGCTGACACTGACTACATGCAGTGTTTGTGTTTGTGCAGTGATGGTTGTGCTGGCTGGAGCGTTGTATTGAAGCTACTGTATCCCGGACCTCCTGTGATGTGTTGGTAACATATCAGTCACAGAAGCGCTGCAGGGTCAAACAGTAGTACAGCTGGACACATCCATAGCGCCATAGATCGAACCACAGCAGCAGCAGCATAACCATATCCACCCACAGCTTCAGCCGTCACAGCCAGGCAGAGCAGCTGCAGCTGTGCTCACATCCAGCAGCTGGATGCTGTCGGAGAGCTGGCTTTTAAAATGAGTAATGAGCAGTAAATGCATCATGTAAAGTGTCACATCATCTCGTCTTTGTGTTTTAACTGGCAGTGTGTTGTAGCAGGACTGTATCAAGACACCAACTGCTTATGGATCAGGAAGAATACAAAACTTATTTTGAGATAACGCAGAGTGAGTAAGTAATGTTCCTCATAGTGATCTTTGCTCTTTGGAGTCTAATGTAGTTTTGATTTGCAGCACATATAATTTGGTCTGCCGTTATGCCAACGAGATAGCATTTTCCTTTGCTCACAGTGTTGTTTCTGATTTGTGAAAAACTCGTATTTATATAATTTTAAACCAGAGGAAATAGCTTTGATTGTTCTTTTTGTACTGACTTGATGTACTGATGTTGCTGTAATCATCCACATTTTGTAAAGATGAATCTACAAGCACAGGCTCATGTCAAATCAAGATTTCAGCAAAAACACTTGCAGTTTTGTCACCTGTATATAGAACACAGTATTGTCAGCACTTCTGTGTGTTCAGAGGCAACGCAAAGGAAGGAATTTAGCTAAATTTTAAACATAGAATTTATGTACTTGAGTTTTAGTTATTAATTATTGATTTAGTTATTTTATTAATTTTGTAATTTTTGGCTTTTATCACAAGAAGATGCACATTTTGTGTCGTTAAAGTGTCCTGTAATCACATGTGGAATGGTCCAGATGTTTAGTAAGACACAAAAAATAAAAATGTAACTGTTAAAACTACCAAAACGTAAAGCTAAATGAATTGAAAAGCCTCATCTACCTTGGAGTGGCAAACGTTGTGAGGAGTGAAAAATTGGCAACTCCTGTTCTCCTTGAGCCTCAGCATCTTCACAACAGGGTGTGTGAGTTTGTCTGTGTGCGTTGCGGAGTAAGAAAAGCTAAAATGCCACCGACACACACAGAGCTTTAGCAGCACTTCTCACAGCCCACGATGATAGAAAAAGAGCCATGAAAATCACCTAATTATACAGACACACATGCAAACACTTAAAAGCAGGGAGCATTGTCTGCAGCCTCCCACATACACACAAATAATGAACACGCTCATACTGCACACAGTCCTGGGCAGTGATAGTCCTGCAAACACACCAGAGTGTGGAGAAAGCAGGGCTGGAAAAGGAGACAGGAAACAGGATTTCTGCTGTAAAACAGGTTTATATCTTCATTCGGATGAAGTGACAGAAACAACGTGTTTGGATCTGGAGCACATTGTCACGTACTGTAAATGTCAGGTTTTATAGAAGTGTAGCGGTACACAAAATTCATGCTTTGATAGGAACCGCAGTTTTGATGATTTCTGTTTTTGAAACAGCAGAGAAAACATCAAATGGTTTTTAACTTTTACTATCAAAAACTGAAAATATTCGACCATGTAATTGTCTGTAACTCTTACTGAAGCAGTTAAAGCACCTAAAAGCTGCACATTGTCAATAAGAAAAGAAAAGAGTGGTTTACTATCTACTATAAAATAACTATACTAGAATATGCCCATAAAGATACATGCAGCATATTCATAATGAACTTAAGGCTAGAGTGCAGGACTTTTATTTTTAAGTTAAGGTTAAAAGTTTCCGATGATACAGATAAATAAAATAACAGACAGCTGGCGTTCCAAGGGAGGATTACGGTTTTAAAAAGAAAGCGAGTCAATGATGTTTGTGTGATTACTTTCACAAGCGTTGACTTTGTCACATTTTGTCAACACTAAAGACAGAGCCTTCTTATATTTAATAAACATATTATTGGAACCGTCAGATGGTGGTGGCCAGTCAACTGACATATACAATGTGAGCTGATAAGTTACAGATTCTCAGCATGAAGGAAGGTTGACTAAAACTCAAACTCAGTGTTTAATAAAAGTGGCACAATGTTTCCCAGCTACAACAGCTCCCCCCCATCATGCTATAGCTGCACGCTTCTATTACAGCAAATAGACAGATATAAATAGACTTCTGTGTTTTGCTCACAGGGTGTACCAAACAGGAAAAAAATAAATCATACTTAACCAAATGTCACATATCAAACAGTTTAGGACGAATACATATAAAATGACTTGCCTCCTGTTTGGACTACTGGCACCGTGTTCTCATTTAGAATAGTGAAAAAGTGCAACATTTTGAGGTGTTATGTGTGAGACTACCATCAGTTTGGAGATATTAACTTTGAGATGTTGGTATAATTAACAAAAACAATGAAAAATGTCACATGCAGCCTCCACTTCGCCTTAAATGTTATTCTTGCTCAGACAGAGAATTCTGCTAAATCGGTTTAGGACACAAAACCATGTACAAAACTGTAGCTGTTGGATGCATTATGCTCTCTTTACTTTCTGTACATTCAGACATGTTGTCATAGGCTTTCTTTTTTTGGCAAAGAGACTTGGCAGGTTTTGTCTGCCATTCAGCTCTGTTTAACTTGGAAAAATCCATCGCGGTTGAGTGGCTTCTCTATAGGATTCAACATTTTGAAATGTTTACTGTGTGTACTGTTGCCACTACTGTTTGTATTTAGGTGCCACTTCTACATTGTATGAGCTGAAGGTAACCTTGAACATAATTGTGTTGTTGGATACAAAAGTCTTCAAAATCCTTGGTGTACTTGCTCTATTTATGCCTTTTATTGCTGGATTTGAAAGACAATTACCTTCAACTATTTTCTTATTTATGAGAAATGAACAGCAACCCTGACCTGTTTGTTTTTGTTGTCCCCTTCTCTCTCTTTACCTTTTCTTTTCATTCCTACCAATCCCCTCTCATTTCCACCACTCTGCATCCTCCTCTTCCCTTCTCTCAGGTTTGTCAAAGTCCTTCCCATTGGACAACCCTTTGTTTGACAGCTGGCTCGCCCAGTCGGTTCAGATCACCGCCGACGACATGCTGAGCCAGTGGGCTCTGGGTGCTCAGCATCGAGACAAGAGCGGCAGCCTGCTCTCTGACCAGGTAGGACTTCAGCAGCTCGAAGCCTGGAAATGACACCTAAGCTGCTGACAACTGATAAACACAGTAGATTGGTCTTGATAACGCAGCAGTGAATTGAATTCAAATGTGGATGTTTAACTTGCTAAAAATTAAAAACTGGTCTAACTGGCAGACCTTCACTTCAGTGCAAACTGCACACAGATCAGACCACTTACAGGAGGAGGAGGATTATATTCAAACAGCTGAAACCAGCAACAATATCTATCTTTGATTGAATCACAGCCCACTTCAGTGGTGGACAAAACCAGTTCCAAGAGCAAAATATGGAGCTAACCCACATCCTAAGTTACATAAAGTTTTAAGTCATAAATGTATTTTTAGTCATTGAAGGGGACGAAGCCAGAATCCATACAAAACTGGCTTCTGAAAACACAGAAAGATGTGTAGGTGAGGCAAGTCCATTGTGACCACGCTGCTTATTATGTACAAGGAAAGCGCACACAGATGAGTTCATTTTTGCTCATTGCTGGGCTGAAATTTAGTACGGAGCTCCTTGTGAACCAACATCAACATGACTTCCACATCTGGGCCAAGCCAAAATATTTGCTCAGCTTAATTAATTTCCCTTTGGTTATGTTGTCTGAGTAAAATGGTGCACTGCTACAAGTCTGGGTTCGTGGCAGGATCATTTTAACAGTTTTTAGCAGCATAACACAACTCAAACTAGGAGCACAGCCAGCACTAAAAAGACGACTTTGGAATCATTCACACTGAGTGAATGTACAACAGGTTGCTGAGCCAGTCAAAGGATACCAGCAACCTAAACCATCCATCTGATTGTATTCTACATTTTCACATGAAATGACCAACCTACTAAACAGACAGATTTAGTGTGTTTATCTTTCCCATAGAGCTCCACTGTTGTCCAAAATCTACTAACCAGTGAAACATGCTCTTGCACAGGATGGCACATTCCTTCTATATCATAGACATTGGCACTGTAACATATTTTCAGCAGCTGCCTCATTTAGCGTCCTTGCTTCCATTCTAAATGTCTAATAATCCGCTGCTGGAAATAGTCCCAAAAAATGGACAGTTTGATCCTGTTTAAATAATATTCACAGTACCCACCTCTTATAGTTTTTTTTTATTTAGTAAATAGTGTACAGTATGTATCCTAGGGCTGCACTTTTACTTTTTTTTTCTTTTTTTTTTTAAACTGATGCGTGCGAGCTGTGTCATTGTCCCAGATCTGCAGCTCTTTTGCTCACTTTACAGCTGATTGCAGTGACTTTCACTATGCATTTCACAGCGGCTACAGTGTTAGCTATATGCTAACTTACTTCTCACCTACCTCCCACTACAAGGTCCCACTGGACCTCTGTCACAGCTACTGCAATTAAAGTGTTTACAGTGGAGCAACGTGTATAAAATATTTTAAAAATAAATCTCTAAAGCGTGTGGGTGTGTTGCACTAAAATAAATCATGTTAAAACTTAGAAATTTGGACTTTCAAAGCAGTGCAAAGTACCTGTAAACAACAACAACCCTGATGTATATTCTTTACATACATACAGAGTTGTTACTTCATTACAGACCAGTGGTCTTGGCACTGAGAGCCACAAACAGGTTAGGGAGATCAGAAAAAAGATGAATGTCATTTTGGCCAGCAAAATTATGGAATATCACCAGCTTTTTCCTAAAGGACATAAGTTGTCACAACACAAACAGCTGCTATATAGCAGTTTGCTATAATTCCATCAATGTAAAGGCGCTCCTGTGGGAGAAGAAATAGATCAAGACCCTTCCCTTTATAGCCAACCCAAATCAAGATAGGAGTCTACAAATGTGGGAGTGGAGCCTTTTGCTTTTCAAGTGATCGTTTCTCTGACGTTGTGGTGGCCGTTAACTGCCAGCACAGTAATAAAGTCAAGTCAGTGTTTTGGCAGCAAAATCTTCTGCTCTTCAAGTTATGAGCTGTTTGCATTGTGGTCATAAAACTGTGAATAATTCCTCAAGAGTGAAAAAATGTGTCTCTTTATTGTGCTTTAAAAAAAGAGCACATATTTTCTTCTGTTATAAGTAAGGAGTTATGCCTCCACTCTTGAAACCACATTCATCCACCCTTTTGATAAATATTTGTGACTCCTTTAACTCAGATTTTTGTCTGAAAATATTCGACACAAATCTATCTTTATTTACTGGAGCAAAGTTTGGAGTTTTTCCTCACTCCTGACTGTTGATTGATCAGTGGACAAGAGAGCTGATAATCAAAGCAGAGCTGCACTGTGGCTGAACTGCTGTTGTCCTCAAGAATGTGCTGTGTTTGTGTGTTGACTGGCAGGGGGCTCTAACCAGAAAGCGCTCAGAGCTCTAGTGTTTGTGGAAGTGTTAAGGAACAAAAAAACAGGAACGTGGTCATTTTCCAATAAAACAGAAACCTGATATACTGAAAAAGAGAGCTCTGCAAGAATAAACAGAACTTTTAAAAAGACGTTAAGCGGTCACTGACCGTTATTAAACAAGTGTTCAGTTCACAAGTTACAGTTAGACCTGTAGATAACATGAATAATAAACCCTCTTTAGTGCAATACAGAAAAACAAGCAAGAGATTCAACAGGACTATCTGATGAAGGAATGAAAGATCATAATGTGCAATGCTGTCATAATACATCAGCTTTGTCATTTGTTTTTTTGTTCGACAACAAAGTGTGACATTAGTTGCACACATCCTCCACTGGTGAGCTGTTGGAAATGTTGGTAGGTGGTAGTGGGTGGGGAGGTTTGGCTTCAAAATATTAGGCAGGAATTTGACGTAATAGACAATTTAATTGTTGAATTAGTCAACTTTCTGAATATATTATCTGTTTTTTGTGTTAAGCTTGTATTATTGTGCCTTTAAACATCAACCAGTTTAACTTTCTCTTCCTCTCTTCTGTTTTACTTTGATCCATTCTCCTTTTTATCCTTTCATCATCATCTTCTCTTTCTCACCACCTCTTTTTGTCGTCCTCTCATCCAGCTCCTGCAAGGCGAGGAGAGCCTGCTTAACCTTATGATGGAGAACTCTATGCAGTCCACCTGGAAAACACCCCAGCTGGGCCGCAAACCACGAGGGAGCAACAAGCCCCGCGCTCGTGGACAACCCACCGCTAACACCCAGGCTCACGCGCTGCTTTCTGCAGCGGCTGCGTCCGCCGCCAGCAGCCCTTCGACTGCAAAGAGCCTCTGGGCGAGTGTGGCAGAGGAAAAGTCCAGCCATGTGGGCCGGAAAGGGGAGAGATCCAGGAGCTCCTCCAAGACCGTGCACCACCACCACCTTCATCACCACCAGACCAGGAGCTCTGACCTCCACAGGGACCCACCGCCCCAGCCACCCATCTCCAAAATGGATTCCTGTCACATCTCTGAGGACCGTGGCTCATGGGACAGAATCCACACGGGGAACGGTGTTGCATCGGGGGCTTCATCTGGTTTCACAGCAAGCTCGTCTCCACCTCCAGCCTCCAGCCCCGGGATCACAGTGCCCGACACTGGGGCGATCCTTCGCGGCGGGGCCCCACGGCTCCGTCTGTCCCGCCAGGGTAAATCACGAGGAAGGGGCGTCGTTGGAGGCATAACGGGGCTCGAGTCCATGGACCTGCCACTTGCAGGAAAGGACACGTCCCTGTTGGACGCTGCTGAGACTGACGGGTACTTCTCTGACGGTGAGCAGAGTGATTCAGACATGCGCTCCAGCGGACGCAAACTCCGCCTGCCACAGTTGCATTCTGGGAACGAGGACCTGCTGAGGAGGAGCGTGCTGGCATCGTAAAGAACTGAGACTCAAATGGACAAACATACACACACACAGTTATCCAAGCAGAGTCCTGCTGGCTAATTGTTTTTCCATCTGTGCCCAGTAGACAGTCTACAAAAACATGGCTGGATGGCTTTGTTCAACCAAATCCCTGTCACATCTATCAGTGGGAAATCTCTTCAGCTCTTAACCTGCTTTGTTTTGGGGGGGGAATTTGAATGTAGCTGTTGCCTATCGTACAGTAAAGCTTCTCCACTGGACCGCAGTTTGTTGTTAGCTTACCATAAGATGCTATACATTCAACAAATAGGAAACAAACATTACCTTTAGTCTTTTTTTGTTTTGTTTTGTATATTTCAGATTCATTTTGTTTCTGGGCGTTGAAGTACCCAGTTCTGGCCTCATGTCTGTGGTATCTGCCAGGCTTGGGAACAAACACTTTGGGGCATTATTATTATTATTATTCAAGCTGGTTTCAGGGTATGCTTCATTCTTGGTCTACATGGCCTGAGTTGCATCCAATGAGTCCTTGTTTTCTTGAATATGTTCAGTGGAAAGACAATTTCACACCAGTTGGTCTGAATATGTATAGAGGGTGACGTGGGACAACATGTATTCAGCCTTGAAAAGCACAACAAGCTAGTCATAAGAGCTGTAATGTAAGCACTCGTGTGTATAATAGATGCTCATGCAGGGTTGGGGTCAATTTTCTTCCTGTTGACTCAGTTGCAAAATGTACACTGAAGCCTTCATTCTCAAATTTATTTTCACGTACTTAAAAACAAAACAAATCTCCAGCTTTTCCAGTTTTTGAATAGCGAACAGATTGACCCCAACCCTGGTGCTCATTCAGATTGTCACACAGAGACACAAACACACAAACGCAGACATACTGACACATTAACTACTATAAGCAAATCCCTTTTGCTCACATCACCGTCATTGAAATATTTGATCTGACTTTTGTCAGCCGTTTTCAAATTCTTCCTAATTCTGAGGTCTTTGGTTGTTTTGTTTTTTTTGCCCAAATCTTTGGAGAAAAATCATTGTAGAAACTCTGTGCCTTCTGTCGCTTGCCCTGTGGCCCTGCCTCCCCCTTTACCCATAACGACCTTCACAATCAACCAAACAATCAGTGAGTAGATCAATCAGTCGTTTCTCAATCGGATTTGTAACAATCAGACCAAAAGGAAATCCCGCTGTATTGGTTATTGAGCGTAGCCAGCATTGGGCTCCTTGTCACCTTAACTATTGTGTAGTGCCTGAAACAAGGATGTACATGCAGCATTTTGCCATTTATCAACAAAGAATCTGCAGCAGTTAGCAAAGCAGAGCCCCAACGTACTATCAGTGCAAAGAGCTGCCTACTATTCTGTGCCCCGTAACTACATGGCTGCAGTCCAGAGTCATCGAGGAACAGAGCTTGGCCAGGTCACACTGTGAGCGCCATGTTGCTGCGTCTTTGAAAGAGTGGCCCGCAAATAGATTTATCACTCAAGTTTTGCATATAAAAAATACATAAATTTTGGACAGAGTCACAAAGGTTAGTGAAACAAACACTGAAGCCTCATTTACATGTTGTCACATTGCTGCCTTATTTGGAATTTTGTGAACTGCTGAAACAAACAGTCTAAACTCATAAGGCCCGCTGAGCTTTTTTGATGTTTCAACCACATCTCACTGGCTAGATTTCATCACCTCAGAGTAGAGAGACATGAGCATCATAAAAATTGCATAGTTAGAAGATTTCTCAGTGCCCTTTTCTCCCCCAGAAATCTTTTATGTCATTTATATACAACACCAACTCACTGTGATGTTGCCATGAGCATCCAGTGTGCAGTTTACACACATGCCTCGATGAGTTCTTCTTAAGTATTCAGTTATCTGTGGTTACTATATGAGGCATTGGGTGCTCAGTGTAGCTTTCAGACAAGCGTCAAGAGGAAATAGTCATACTTCAGATCATCCATGTGTATCTATGCAGTTTATACATTTGATGGGGTAAGATACAAGCACTGTTTGATTCAGCTAAGCACTGAGCAGGTTTATTGCACCAACATGGCCACCGCGAAAGTCTGACCTGGCCACGGTCTCGTAACTGATGGCTCTGCTGCACGTGTTCCTCCTGTTAGATAAATGTAGACAGTGTAATAATCAGCTTCAGAGGCCTGCGCTCTTAAGTTCTTGAATTGAGTTGTAAATTTGTTTTTGAAAAAGACTTTTTGTTGTTCTCTCAGAGAGTTGTATTTTGTACTTAAAGCAGTCCATGGTAATCTCAGGGGTTAAAAAAAAAAACTTTTAAAAAAGAAGAATAAAAGGTTAAAAAATTTATGGAAAAAGCAACGTAAGACGTAGATACATATATATATATACATATTTTATATCATATACAGTATATATATATATATATAAAGTGATGTGCGTATGTCTAGAAACTTCCTTATTTGGCAAGCTTCACTGTTTGAACTCCAACGCAATTACTACTGAGCATGCTCCTTCTCTCAGTATGATCACATAAACATCAGCCCTGGGTCCAATAGTCTCAATGCTCATTTTAACTTGTTTGAGTTAGCAGGTGAGTTGTGACAGGTCAGAGAAAATCTGTTCGGGACGATCTTTTCGGTCTCTCACGTGTTTTGCAACAAAGACCACACCCATCTGGACCCAAATTGGATTTTTTAAAAAAGCATCACAAGTGATTTTTAAGGGCTGCTTGACCCAGGCCTGATGAATAGACATTCAAATAGAGGTGCAAGTCCATTCTACTTCCTCTGTTTTTGCTGTATGGACAGCTTCTAACCGGTCTTCTGGAGTGACCACGCCAAAGAACAGATCTGTGTATCAAGGCAGCATATTTGCATCTTATCTACACAAATACACATGCACGTGCTCCGTCTCTGGATTTCAAGATGAAGAATGTTAGATAAGGTGTCAGACAACTCCGCCAGCGCTGTCCAGGTCAGCTCGGCTTAAACCGGTTTTGCAACCTGGTTCGATCCAGTTCAGTCAGAAATGCTGTAAGCTCAAGGCACCTTGGTGTCACGCAACCTCCTCCACCACAGGGAGAGCTTTTAATTCTACCACAACAACACCGATAAACCCAACCTGGATTCTCCCAGACCCTGCATTCATGGGGGGTTCACATAGGAAACGCCTGTTGTTACAGTAACGGGCTGGTGATGGTCATTAGACGTAGACTCACACATATTAACCCCCTTCAGAAAAAGCCAAAAGCTGCTGAACTGAACACACAACATACAGCTCTCTCTCTCTCTCTCTCTCTCTCTCTCTC